CTTGTTCTTATGCCCCCCGGAGAAGGAACAGAGGTGATTTTGGGAAGGGGTTCTAGCATACATCTTTGGCGTATCTTATGCAACATGAAATCATTAAGACATCTTATAAAGGATTCATTCAGACTCTGGCATCGGGCATGGTTCAGTCTCTTGGTAGAAAGGCATCATTGAGAACCTGGTAAAATGCCAATGCCTTTAATGAGCCATACATTACCTCCACTGTCTACTTTGTCCCCTGTAGGTGTCTGATTTGGCCAGGATAAAAGAGAGCACTCCCAGCTTGCTGGCATACCATAGAGGTGTGGCAGGAACCTGTCCAATATTGCAATATTAAAGCCTTGGAAAAAGGTTAGATCAGGGGTAAGCAACCTTGGCATTCCAGCTGTTGTGGAAATACAAGTACTATAAGGCATTGCAAGACTCTGACAGCCATGGGTATTGGGGACAGCACAGTAGTGTAGGGATTACTGCTTCTGCCTTGCAGCACTGGGGTCCCTGGTTCTAATCCCAGCCAGATCACTATCTGCAAGGAGTTTGCATGTTCTCTCTGAGCCTATGTGGGTTTCCCCCAGGTACTCCGGTTTCCTCCCACACTCCAAAGACATTCTGGGAGTTTAACTGGCTCCTATCTAAATTGGCAGGGGCCTGGAACTGGCTCCTAGACCGCTCCCTGCAGCCTGTTGTAGTGAAGTAATATATGGCGGGAAGTATAAATATATATCTACCCAAATATATTTATTTATATGCGTTGTGAAAATCCAGGCAACCTCAGTACCTTGCCAGAGAGTAGCGTTTAATTGGATTGAAGAAACAGATGAATAGGAACACTCCAACAGAGTAATACAGAGTAAAATATCTAGACCTCAGATGACAAAGGTTCCATGAGGACACACTCTAACTACCCAGCATATATCTCCAATCTATATATGCACCTCTGCGCCTCTCCTCATGACTCTGAATTCCCCTCTCAGCCACCTTAGGCTCTCTATTCATATACAGTTTAGTGCCATTCACTAACACTGAATGGATTCTGATTGGCTGGTCTAATTACCCCTTTGATGTTGGGTAACTAAACAGGTTTTGACAAAATTCCCTACAGCTGTTCCATTGTGTACAATCAACAAAACAGGACGGTCACCTGGTCAATAAACTAACGCAATAAAAATGTCCCTCGGCATCCTCACATCCTATACACTGTATTCGGCATGATGACGCAATCGACCTTAGACCGCTGGAGCAAAGAACGATGAGGCTGAAGGGACTCGTCTAGGAGTCAGCCAGGATTGTGGTTCAGGTGAGTATATCTCTGTTATTTTAGCTCCCTAGGCAAAACAAGCACTTAACCCCTGCACTGCAGGCACGCCCCCCCACCCCCCCCCCCCCATTGCAAGGGTTAAGATTGTATTTGCCCGGAGTTCTTCTTTAAAGAAAACCTGTACTGAGCGAAATGTATGGGCTGCTCTTGCTGACCTTCTGAAAATGCTAGCGATCTGTGGTTGCAATACATTTGATGACGAGGGAAAAGTATACAGTCAAGGGAATTAAAACTCCTGATCTGCATACATATTGTGGGTCCATAACGCAATGCATTGAGGCCATTGAGCAGTATAGCAGTCAGGTAACTAGCATTTTCAGAGAGGTCAGCAGTGACAGCATATATGTTTCTTTCAGTACAGGTTTCCTTTAAGTTTGATCATGTAGATGACGTGGTGCCTGCTGTCTGTGGGTTCACATGGAGCAGTTGCATTGACATATGGAGGCATTTTATATTCATGAGCACAGCCCGCCCACATCTTGATCTGAAATTAGACCTGGAATTGTCCACAGTGTACCAGGAAAAGAGGTAAAGACGTGCGCAGACGTGATGCAGAGCATTAGGATAGTTTGAAATGAGTTTCCTGCAATGGTAGACACATTCTGATCAGCTGTGCCGGGATTGTCATTTCATAAGAGGTAGAGACAGGACACGGGATTTTTACTCTTGCGGTATGATTGCACACAGCTCTGTTTTCTTACATCTCTGCCATGACCGACAGCAGTGCCTATCGCAATAGTAACAGTGGTGCAGGTGATGTACTTTGTACTTTCCTTTGTTCCAAGGCAAAGAAGAAGATTGGTCTCGGTTATTGGGTGTTTTCCAGATGTTGGGAGATTTCCCTGTGTGTTCGTTAGGGATCACTTCCATCAGCCTGGGACCCTTACCAACCCTCTTTTAGGCCAGAATGGCCTCATAACCAACAGGTCTGTTAGCCAGAAGCATCCCTTGTATTATCTATTGCAAGGGTATATGTATGTTTATGAATCAGTCTTGGATGATCGGTACCGGTTGGCCTGGTGCTATTGAACTCAGCAGATTCATTCTCTCAGAGTTGATGGGCCGGGGGATGTTTTGTTCTGGTCATGTAATGGTATCGTCTCCAGATCTGACCCTAACGTGGTGGATTGAGCGATCACCTTTGCATGGGTATGAGCCACTTTAGGTCCTCTATAAATCTATTCACTTTCTACAAGTAGGAAATATAACCGAAAGTACTTCTAAACCACAACGGCGTGCTGCCATACACTAACAGTCTTCTACTTGCTACTATATCATGAAATTAATTCTAGGTATGTATTTAAACTATTAGAAGCTGTAGAAACGTTTGTGCATTTTAATGTATGTTTTCAATTCTGTTACCTAAAAATAGTCCAAGGCACTTTCTGTGGGAATGTCTCTTCAGATTGGCACGTAGCCTACCAGGTCAAGCCATTCCAAATGTTTTCATGTTCTCTCAACCCGTGGTCCCGTATGGTACACCTCTCGCTGTATTAACTTCTTTACTCTGGGCACTAATATGATCATATATGGAGCATACAAATGGTATGATAAGACAATGTGTTCTGAAGGTTTCCTCCCTCTTCCTTGCCTGCAGATATGCCGGATTGTGAATTAAAGTGCCACACTCCTTTTAATAGTCCAGACACATCTTTAGTCGATATAGGATTGAGGAGACAGTTTAGAAATATCCACTGCATTTCAGGGGCTCATCTAAATGCCCCCTTCATCAGGGCTTGTTCAGTGTGTCATTTGTGATTAATCTCCCATACTCATCTCTTATGGGACCCACTGTTCTTTTACCTTTTTACTATTTATATATTGGAAGAATTTTTGGGGTTCTTTTTTTATATTGACTGTGGCAATATGTTTTTAGTATCCTACGATATTCCACATATTCTAGGTTAAAAGCTCTTCCAGTCTTTTAACCATTTTCCCCCCAACAGAGCTTCTCCCTCCCCATTTAGATGCAGCCCGTCTCTACTGTAGAGTCAGTAGCAGGATATGAAAGCCTTCATAGAAGCAGCAGGAGTTGAGAGAGATGAACCAGTGGCTGAGGAACTAGTGTAGGAAATAGGAGTTTGGGTTCATGGAGAACTGGGCTGATTTTTCAGTCGACTCAACAATCAACCCAGTTCTCCATGAACCCAAACTCCTATTTGCTACACCAGTTCCTCAGCCATTTGTTCACCTCTCTTAACTCCCGCTGCTTCTCTGGTGCTCTATGAAGACTTTCATATCCTGCCACCTACAGTATGTACAGTTTTGGGTATTTTCCTTTTTCACAATTTTGCAAGCACACTATTTTTAGTTTAGATTGTACACGTAAGCATGTTTGTAAGAAAACGTTATCACTGGCTTGGTGGCAAAAGAGCTTAAAGAAAAATGTCATGGGAGAAATATTTAGGACGCCATCCTTCTGAATTTCGGGCCGGTGCAGACCTGAGTGTTCAGAGATGCACGTCCCGGGATCGCGTGGTCGTGCAATATTGCAGACAGTGATTGCTGCAAAGCCCCATTGATTTTAATGGGGTACATTCGCTCTGCAATCGCAGAAAAAAGGTACATGTACCTTTTTTTTTTTTTTTTTTGCGTAACACAGCGACGCTCGGCTGTCTTAGTTGCGATCGTGTTGGGATGCACGGGCGGAATTGCGGCGGGAAACCGCGCGATCCGCCCGATGTGACTGGGGTGCCATTAGAAAATAATGGCACCCACAGCACGATCGTCGGCCCCTGACCGCGCGGCAATCCACGTGGTATCTTGCACGATTGCCACACGGTCACGGATCGCCCAGGTGTGCACCGGCCCTTAGACTTCCTTGCTGTCATGCTGATCTAATGACTTCAGTACTTTGAGTGACTGATCTGGAACCAGTATGCAGGAGTTCTTTCTAATCTGCATGGTTGTTTCTGGTTAGCGATTTAGCGAAAACCAGGAAATTGGCATTTTCAGGGTGTCAGCAAGAGATGCCCCTTTTTTTTTTTAGCAGAACAAGTTTCCTTTAAAGCCCAGCTCTGGACAATTAAAAAAATAGTTCCTAAGCAGCAGAGGTTTTATACAAGAAAAAAAACCGGCTTTGGCTGCATTACTCAACCCCTCTGGCATTCTGTCCCCTGCAGTCAATCCTTTCCACCACTAGATGTCCTCGGTCTCTCTGGGTTGAATGACAGCCAGCTTATCTCCACCTGGAAGACTAAGGATATCCTGTAAGCACTGAATGTCATAGGCCTGCCCCCTGAGGGGGCGATATCATGATGCCCTGTACTCGCATGTAGGATCACTCATCACAGGATCCTCTTGAAGACATCTAGAAAAGGTGATTATTGAAAAAACGTACTACCCGAGAGGTATTCAGGGAAGGGTGACTGAGGAGCAGCCCGGAGTTGGGCTTTAAGTATATCTGTAAGTTGGTGTTTGTAGCACGTGTAGCTCACATGAATATGTTGCCCACTTTCTGCTGCATGCTATTCATTTATGAATGCATTTGTTTGCATGTAGAGAGCTTTAATAAATGTCTCTTATCACATTAGATGTGACTTGCAGCCTCCGTCTGTCACACACGTCTGTTAATGCTGCAGATTTGCATTGACAATGAGAGGAGGCGTCAGTGTGTGTCAAATGAACATCCCTGTCTCAAGTCTCGCTTCCCATCCCTTCTACTGTGACATCTGTGTGTTGAGCATGCCTTGTGTGCTGTGCCCGGCGCTCTCGCCAGGGGTAGCCAAGACTATCACAGTCTAGTGCTCCTTCTTTATTTTTCCAGGCACAGGACAAAAGAATGAAGAGCCCCGGGGTTATTTAACTTCTGTCCTCTCTATCTGGCCATTCACAGCCTGATTCCAGACTCCGGTAGCTTCAGTGAGGCTCATGTCTCGCTTGCCTAGCAGGGCTTTTGTTTTTTGTTTGGCTCTCCCGTTGTGCCCCACAACAATCAGCTAATGGTGGCATACCATGGTGGAATTATAGGACTTAATCTGGCCAAAGGGATCATATCTCTCTGCTGCGTCCTGATCCGATCTCTAGGAAATCCAATGACAGCGCAATAGCCTCTCCTCGTCATGACACCTTTGGAAATCCTCAGCAACAGTACGGCATTATTGTTGAGCTTTTTTCCTATTCGCCCGTGCAGTTCCTGAGAGACATCAATGGGAGAAAAGGTAAGCACAGGAAATAGCAGGCGGCTCTAGCTGATAGCAGACTCGTTAGCAGCTGATTTGAAGAACGTTGATGTATACATGTAACTGTCAGGTTTTTCTTTTGTTGCTTCAGTAGGCTGAATATGTAATTATCTAATCAACAACAGGAGAGGTTTAACGACCTTCTCTCCAGCATTGGCACACAGGGATTCTTACCTTTCTCAATCAGGGAAAGGAAGAAAACATTAAAATGATTGCAGACAATGTCCGACAAGCAGGACAATCTCTACAAGGCCTACGAGCACTTCCAGAAAATTGTGCATGCTTTGTTGTTTGCTTGCCAACCGCAATACTTCTCAATGTTGTGATCCTTGATGTCATTTTTCATATAGGTGCCAGGTTGTCCAACCATATTTAAGTTATCTATCGTTTTTAGGCATGTGTTCCCTGTTGAAGGGTCAGTCTCCTTTTGTCAATTAGCCCACTGCACACCGTCCTACAATTTAAAGGTAATTCTGCCTTAATGGCTAATTGTAGTTCAAAATAACTAGCTTTGTAAATAGAATGCGTTGCCTATATTGTTCTGGTTTACAGGGTCTTAAGGTTTCCACTGGAGCCAAACTACAGTGTTCACATTTTTGCTTGTTGATGACATACCTGTAGTTATAACATGATGCCGTGTACACGTGACTGTTCAATAGTAATAGTGGGGCAAGTTAAGCATTTACTTAGGCCCTTTTGTGGGAAGCTAATTCAGTATTCAGAAAGGACTTGCAGAGTTCCCGCCACCATGTACATGATGCGGCCACCACAAGGAGAATCTGATGTTCATATTTTTATTTGCTTTGCATTATGTGGTGGAGGATGGTGGAGTCATGAAATCATAGTATTTTGGTGCTGGATTCTCCTTAATGAGCGACCATACCAGTAACCATAATTAACATTATTATTATTTAAAAGTATACTGATCCCTATAAATGGCTGTATAGGGTAATGGATCATTCTTGTGACCATTTTCTCTTGACGTGCCCAATGTCTACCACCTTCAAGAAATGTTCTAGCCTGCTGCCTGTTTCCTGTACTCTGCTTCCATTTGGACCTCTTTATTCCCTACCCATATCTAAATTGGAGGTCCTCATTACCTTCTTTCCTCACCCCAATCAAGAAAGATTCATGTGTTGCATGGCCTGCTGACTTCTTGGCTCCCCTTTTTTGTCAATGATAAATCTGCTGCCTACAGCTCAACAATTGTCTGTCTTTCCCCTGTCCATATATCCCACTGTCCTCTCCCTAGTCTGTGTAACTGAATCTTCACTCCTCCTCAATTATTTGTCATTTGCTGACCTCTCTCCACTTCTTCTACCTCAATATCCCATTCTTTTCTTTCTAAGCACTACTTTGTCTACATGGCCCGCTCAGTTCCTTCGCTTTGCGCACTGCTATATCTTGAGTGTCTTTGTATTCTCTAGGCCAGTTTTTCTGTTGTTTTTTTGTCACAGCACTCTTTAAAAGCAAAATCTTGAGGCACCCCAGTCTAAAATGTCAAAAAACGTAAATGTAAAACGCAACGTGTGGCCCCTCCAAAAGCCATAGTAGACCCTTAACCAGATCGGGGTCTGCTATGGATTTTAAGGTGGTTCCCCAACAACCCCCCAAAAATAGGGTTCCCCCTTCACATTAGAGTTTCCTCTTCAAATCAGGAGCCCTCCCTTACATTAGGAGTCCCCTTTATAGCAAGAGCCCCCTTCTTTTACATCAAAGCCCTCTTCACATCAGAAGCCCCCCTTTTACATCGGGAGCCCTCTTCACATCGGGAGCCCTCTTCACATCGGGAGCCACTTTCTTATCAGAGTCTCCCCTTTTATATTAGTATGTCCCCCCCCTTTCACATCAGAAGCCCTCCTTCACATCAGAGCCACTTTCTTATCAGAGTCTCACCTTTTATATTAGTATGCCCCCCCTTTCACATCAGGAGCCCTCCTTCACATCAGAGCCACTTTCTTATCAGAGTCTCCCCTTTTATATTAGTATGCCCCCCCTTTCACATCAGGAGCCTGCCTACACCATGGGAAGGCATGATGCTGTGCGAACAATTTGAGGTACCCCTGAGGAAGCCAGAAGACAACCGAGGGTGCCACGGCATGCTGGTTGAGAAAGTCTGCTCTAGGCCTACAAAACATGTTGTCATCTCTGATGTCATTACCCACAAAGTGTGGTAGTTGTTTTCCTTCTGTATGGTTATGTCCAGCAATAGAGTACCACTTTATATCATTAACTACTCCATCAAACTGAAAACTAGTTTAATATCCTGTTGTACGTCCATGTTTACTAATATTACATAATACATACATAGAGCAAACACAATTTACATAAAAGTACCATAAACTTCCTCCTGCTGCCTAAATGAATCCAATAATGAAGGGGCAGACATTCGCTAGTCTGAATTAAAAACACTTCCTTTGTGGTTACCTTCCGCCTGGATCTGCACATAATGTTATGAATATGCACGTCAGAGAACTTCCCACACTGGATCTATTATCTAGTATTCTCTAGTGCCCTGGTTCTCAACTGGTGGGTCGTGGCATGCCTTCCACTTTTCTAGGTGAGAGGCTCCTCTGCCTCCCCGTACCACGCAATCGCGCCTACCGTGCATTCTGGTGTGGGAGGTGTGTTGCGTTGCAATTTATTTGAATGGAACCCTAAAGGCACCTCCCACCCGCATTTTGTACACCCCTGCAGTGTTCCGCAACTGACGTCTTTAAAAATCTGCCTTTTCAGCATCTTGTCTATTCCTTCAATTAGGCCCTTAAGATGTGAATGTAAACCTTGCCGCAAGCTCTCCACATGATGTTTGTAGATGTTTAGATTAATGAGGAGATATTGGTAATGTTATATTTTACGGCAATATCATTTCTGGTGAGTTTGAAGGAGGTGGGGGGTGACAGACAATGGTAGGGTATATACTATACAATAGAAGAAGATTGGATAATATAATATACAGCAGAATATATAATGTGAAGCTGTGTGGAGTTTAGAATGTGAGCCATATTGTGCAAAGCGGAGCAGTGTGTAGCGAGGAATACACACCCGTGTACACATTGGAGTGGTGAGGAGTTTATAATGTAAAGTACACAGAGTTGTTCTAGGAGAAGAATATAATGCATAGCACAATGTACAGAATGGAGTATATAATGTACAGCATAGCACACAGTAGGGCTGCAACCAACTAATCGATGAATCAATAATAATCGATAGTGAGAATAGTTGTCAACTATTCTCATTATTGATTAGTTGGTTGGATCCCCTAGCTCTCCTCCATGCTGGGATCAGGGCACAGCAAGCAGTGGGCGGGTGCAATAGCTAGCCTGCTATTGGCTATAGCAATTTTAAATGGCCACTGCTTGCTGTATTTACATTCAGCTGCTGTCTGTGGAATCTTGTCACTGGCAGCTGTCATTCCCTGGCTGAAGCTATTCAAGCGCCGTGTGCTTACAATACAATTACTTGTTGAAAAATGATAAAAGGTGTGGGGGGAAAAAAGTCATTTTCGGTTTCGGCCTGACAAATACTGCTGCAGGAGGTGCGTTGCAATGCCATTCATTTCATTCATTTTTAAAGTGACACTAAACTCAAGAATTGAATGATAAAAATACATTGCAGCACCTTAGCTATTATTAAAAATGTATCTTATTTGTGTATCACTCGGCTGTAAATCCTCAAATCATCTCTGATTTGGTGCTGACACTTTCCTTGCTTCTGGAGGGTGGCTACTTTTGTTCCCCATGGTCCCTGTGTGTGTTGTTAAGTAGTCACCGCTCCAAGCTCGCTCCCGGGATGGACTACAATCTCAGTACAAATGATTAAACTAAACATGAGATTGTAGTCCATCACAGGAGCAAGTTTGGAGCGGTGGCTACTTTACAACACACAAAGGGACCATGGGGAACAACAGTAGCCACCCTCCAGAAGGAAGGACAGTGTCAGCACCAATTCAGAGATGATTTGAGGATCTACAGCCGAGTGATACACAAATAAGATACATTTTTGTTAATAGTGAAGGTACTTTAAAGTATTTTTAACATTTAACGCCTGAGTTTAGTGTCACTTTAAGCATTGTGATGACAGTCATTATTTTGATGCCACAGCCAATAACATGGTGCCGTGTTAGATATTGTAATGGTTTTGTGATGTTCCTGTTAATGTTAGGATAGTAGTGTAAGTAACGTGAACTTTAAATTGGTATTTATGATGTTACAGCAGGGGTGGGCAAATTCATATGGAATTCAAGAACCTGTCTGTCCGATCCAGGAGCCAGCTCCTTTGGCAACAGCTAGAGAAAACCTCAAAAGTTAGGTGCCGGCTGTAAATTTTAAAGACGAACTCTGGGCATTTTAAAAATTAAAGGAGAACTATGGGGTGAGTACCTTTCACTCACCTCATAGTTCTAGCCGACCTGTGACAATGAGACTGTCACAGGTCGGCTCAGTCGATCGAGAAGTGAGCGAACACATACCAGCATTCGCTCACCACTCGATCCTGCCACGGCAGAGAGCTGCGACAGGGGAGGGGCCCTCTCTCCGCTCCGATCTGCCAGTGCTGACTGGCGGAACGGACGGGGGAGGGGGCGGGTACAGCTGGCTCTGCCTCTAGATAGGCAGAGCTAGCTGTCACTCACGCAGCTGGGCGGATCCAGACATAATTGTCGGGATCCGTTTCAGCTGCAGCCTCTCAGTATACCGCGAGCTGTAGCTTGCGGTATACTGAGCTTAGGGTGATGGGAGGACGCTAGTTTGTGTCCTCCCGTTACCCTCAGTAGAACTATGGGGAAAAGCCCTGACCCCATAGTTCTCCTTTTAAGAAAAGGGTAGACCGCCCCTTCTCTTTGTGTTAGAGCTGCAGCTAACGATTATTTTCAAAATCGATTAGTTAGCCGATTATTAAGTTCGGTTAATCGGATAAACAATAAAAGAAAGTTTCAAAAATGGCTCCAGTGATAGGACTACTAGTTTGTATTGAGGTTG